GTCTTAGCAAGTCGTAGCTAGCTAGCTGTCTAGCTTTAAGATAAATTCTTGGGTATTAGATTTTCTCAAGAGAAATTTCTGTTTATATAGCAAAAGTTTCCTTCTTCTTGTTTTAAAACAAGTTTACTATTACCATGGTTGAATTACATTGAAGTAAAAACACATATATTATTCTTCCATAGTTAAGTTATAGTTGAGTTTCCATATGGTTGAGTTTTACTTGTGTAATTTGAAATTCCATGACAATGATTATTTTTCACTTAAAAGTGGTTAGCCCCTGCTATTGCTACCATTGGTTTAGTGAACGGACCATGCGCGTACGTATTTTCAAATTGAGAAATAATGCTAGAACTATTAATCTAAATAGCCACACACCCAATTACTTAAACAAAAAATAACCGACAGATATATAATATCTATCTATTTATCTATCTATATTAAATTATATTAAAAGCACGATGGTCCTTAGCTAAATATTATTCGTGTTTTTTTTTAAAAATAAAATAGAGTTCAAACTAGACAAAATAGTTATTTGATTATTTTTTTAATATTTAGAAATAGTCATATAATTAATTTTCTGCTCTTTAGGAATAGTCATTTAATTATTTCCCTAGTATTAGAACTTTAATCTTTAAATTTCTTTTAGTTCTAGAATTTCAAGCACTTTCAATTCACGCAAAAAAATTGTTGACTTTCAACATCATTTTTAATTAGGAGTATTAAATTTTTGTTTCTTCATCTCAATTCTATAAAGAACTGAAGAAAAACAAAATAAAATAGAAAGTAAATATTAAGAAGACGTACGTTATCTAAAACTCCTTTTATTTTTCCTAAAGCGAACTATGAGGCCGTTTGGATTAGCTGATATGAAGTAACTGATAAGCATTAGGTGCTGAAAAGCACTTTTAAGTGCTGAAACTGATTTAATAAATAAGCAGTTATGTGTTTGGATACAAGTGCTGAAATTGATAATAAGCTGTTGCTGTATTTGATAAAAAAAAAAGTGCTGATAAGCTCTTTTTCTGTTAAAATGACTTAAATAACCTTAGAAGTGTTTATACTTATAAGGGCGTAATTTATTCAAAATTTTAGATTCCAAATAGATCCAAATACAAAATATTCTATTTGTCATTTTATTTTAAATACAACTGTGCTTAGATAAGATAATTTTTATGATAAATATTATTTATTTTATGATAAGCATAAATCATAAGTTATAATAATTAATAAATTGATAAAAGTTTCTCAGCAAAAAATAAACCTAAATAGGACAAAATATTTGAAGAGAAACAAACACTATCTTTATCACCATAATATTTAAAAAGCAACACACCAAAAATTTGATATGTCCTCATTTATTACATACAGTTCAAAGATTAATACACAATCACATAGATATAAATATGCAAAGGAATAAAGAATTTGCTTATCTTAAATAGTCAATGGACATTGCAGACTTAAAGAGAGGGGGGGTTAGGTTGAAATAGTACTTGAAGTAGTGAGTATCGATGTAATAGTTTTGTTCTAAAAAAGAATATTTTAAGGATAAAATAGTAAAAATTTTGGTCAAACTTAAAGTGCTTATAAGCTAAAAATTTATAAGCTGGGGGTGACCAACTTACGGCTTTTGGCTTATTTTTGACTTATAAGCACTTGGCTTATAAGCACTTTTAACTTTACCAAACGCGTAGATAAGCCAAAAAGTGCTTATAAGCTAGTTTGACTTGCTTATAAGCTTAGCCAAACACCCTCTATGATGGATAACTTTTAATCATTTTCAAAAGATCATTGTGTAAAATTCCATTGAATTCTAATCCTATTAATCTCTACCTTGATAAAATTTAATAGTTATTCTTCTCCCTATTAGATTCTTTAGTGACCTTTATGTCATAAATGCATATTCCAATTTAAATTCATATTTTCTTTGTAGTTTTATCAATATGATTTAATTATTTAGGAGTCGTTTATATTAGGAAAAAAACGAGCACTTTGAAATCCTTTTCAATTTAGGAATCTTTATTTTTTAATAATTATTTATTTATTTATTTATTAAACTATACACAATTTTACCGTATATACTCATGTTTCATAATTTATGCAACTACATCCGCCACATAAACTAATATTTTTGTTGAACATAAATATTAAAAATAAAAACCAATTGAAATAACCGATCGATATATAATATATGCATAATTTATATATTATATATATAATTATATATAATCAATGTATAAATAATATATATCACTAGAAGAAGTAAACTATCAATATGGACGGCTATTTACGTAAAGATTCATAATAATTTTCACATGAAAGTAGTGGCGTTTTTTTCGACAGTGTGGGTCCGCCCCTTAGTAAAAGGATGAATATATATCCTTTTCATTGATATTTCAAAAGAAGATAGGCATCATCCCACTTGACATATCCTTTTCTTCAACATTGAATACAAGGCCTTCTAGGATAAAGGCTACTTTTTCCATCTCTCACTCAGAATGAAGAAGTAGGCCTTAATTTGATTGGATATCAAAGGAACAAGCCTACAAATGTGAAGCACAAAACAAGATATTATATAAAGTATAAGCAAATGAAGAAAAGAGATATTTTCTATGATTCGGATGCCTTCCTTTTTTTGTTCATTTAATTTGGTGTTATTATGCGTTGAACTTAGAAATTTTTTTCAGTATAAACGATGAGACTATTGATCGGGTTAGAAAGAAATTCACTTCCATGAATGATTATTTTGAGCACATGTTTTTGTAAAAAGTGGCGAAATAGTCAAACTTTATGTTAATTTAGTATTGGTTTAAATTATATACATAGAAAGTATAAAAAGTTTACACTAACATACTAGGTAACAATTTTTATCAAGTTATCAATAAATACTTATCAAAAAATTTATTTTTTAGTCTTATAAATGACCTAATTATATGTATAAATATCTTTTTACTCATTAATTTTTGTTGGAAACTCTGTAAAATTTTTGGGAAAATGACATTGTATAACCACTCTTAAAATAATAGCCAAAAGAATGTATAATTATTTGTATATATATGCATTTTATATGTTATATACAAATATTATATACTTTTTTTGCTACCGAATTTAAATAGTTTCTGACGCTGGCTAAAAGCAAAAAAGGCTAAAATTATTGCACAAATGTAGGACCCATGGGACGTGCAGTATAATGCTAGTTCGTGTGGGGGAGTAAATTAAACATAGTGCAACCATTATAACCATGTCCAAACACTAAAAGCTCTTAGCATTATCAGTACAATTAATACATCACAACAATTATTATTTTTTACACGAACTTATAAGCTGCTTTTCCCATTACTACTTCCAAACAGAGAATATGTATCAAATTCTTAAGCTTCCATCTTGAGTTATGAAGTGTCATATTATAATGAGAATAATACGCGAAGTTGGGACTTAATATACCGCAAGTAGAAAACGATAATGTGATAAGAAAGATTATCGATTTGACACGTACCGAAATACATTAATACGAAACTTGTAAGACATAGTAATTTTTAATAGAAAAAACTCGTTTGGTAATCTTAGTAACCAACTCTAGGGAAGACGTTGAAAATTCAGAGACGGAGCCAGGATTTGAAGCTTATGGTTTCGGGATTTTAGTTCTTTTAAATTACTGGGTTCTATAATAATAATTTATAGATATTCCATGAATTTTTTAAGACAAATACAGAGTCTGCACAAAAATTATTGGGTTCGGCCGAACTCGTAAGCAGAATGCTAGCTCTGCCCCTTGTTGAAATGATGGTGAAAACGATGAGTACAACTCCATGCAATTATTGAAATAGACACACACATTGGATCAGTAAAGAGGAGAAGGAAAAGCTAAGCAAGCAGAAGGAGTTTGTGATATTTATACCTTATTGCCTTGAATGCAGTATAAAGTAACAATAACGATTACTATAATTTAATTACCATCGAAGGCTGTGGTAGAATTATTGGATCCCTGAATTTTTCACTAAGATTCAGGGATAAGAAATGCCTTAGCTCTCTTATTGAGCTTACTCAATATAAACTTAAAATTAATCCTTACCAATAAACTTTGGATACAAAATAGTCATAAAAACTAAGCTGTAACTTTTTGTATACATTTGTGTTTATGTTCTTTTTCTTCTTCTTTTTAATGTTAATTAAGCTAACTTGTGAAAGCAATTAAGAATAGATGGTTGCCAGCTGATTTTATTGCTTTACTAGGAAAAGTTGACAGCTAATTGCAATCTTAACTAAGGCCCAAACACTTGTCAAGTAGTGAAAGTTATCTCTATCCTTACGATCTGGGAAGATATGGTAGTTGGATTGGTCTCCCCATTTCCATTTGTTGAGGTTTTAGAGCCTTCAAAATTCAAAATTCAACCTATTTTTGCTTCAAGGTTTGAGAAATATCAGCACCTTTATCTTTCTTTTTCCTTTCTCAATTTTTTGGGACGGGGATGAACCCGTGAATAATAAGAGAATACACATATTATACTTATATTCACGCTCACTTCTTATTTGGGTTAATTATTCAATTCAATAACTAAAGCCAAACGCCACTTCTTATTTGGGAAAAAAGCTTCTTACTTCTCCGTTCCAATTTATGTTAACCTGTTTGATTGGGCACGGAATTTAAGAAAAAATAAAAGACTTTTGAAATTTATTGGTCCTAAACAAGTCAAAAATGAATCCAGAGTATTTATGTGATTATAAAAACTTCTCATTAAGGATATAATTATAAGTTTAAACTAAATTATTATCAAATTTAAAAAATAATCATTATTTTTGAAACCGACCAAAAAATACTTTTCCAAAAGTGAAACCACAACTTTTTAAGATTTTGGAGCTCAAAAATAACATAAAAGGTTAACTTTAACAGGCCTTGGCTAAAAATTTTGTAGTTATCTGTTGTCCTATCTCCAAATTGGCTTAATTTGTGAGTAGATTTTACTTGTTAAAATAGAATATGAAACTTCACAAATACTGAAGGATGAGCACTGAATATACGGCTAAGACATGAATACAACCAGAAAACTATGAATACAAAGCAAAATTACAACATATAAAAAAGCACCAAAATCCACTGGCCTAGCTCAGACAAAAAACACCAGCTGGCCTGTTTGGATCCTTCCTATAAAAGCTTAAAGGAAAAAATGTAAAAAAAAAACAACTTTAATAACAGGATTTTCCCAATAAATCTAAGGACCAGCCATGCAATTACCAAAAACTCATTGCAATGGCCTGTCCCCTAATCCTACTGACAAACATCTTTAAACAAAGAATTATAAAGATTACATTATCCCAATTTCTAAATTTGACTAAATTTATAGCAGAGAAGCCCAATCAATCTCATGAGATGGATGCTTCTGCAACATGAAATTCTCCGAACACATGTCCCAAATAGATTCCTCCTCGGCAAACTCCGTGACCGTTAAATCAGAAATGGGCGACGACCCGCCCGTTCCATCACTTTCTGACCCGACTTCTGCCATCTTGCTTTCCTCTTTCTTGGAAGAAACTTTCCGCTTCTTTTTAGTACTGTCAATGCTTTTCCCTTGAGCTAAGTCTTGACAAATGGCTTGTAACTTAGCATCCACTGAGGAGTGAAGCGGCTTGTACTCGCCGAATTCACCCCCGATGAGCGAGCCATTATGGCGGAGG